TTCACTTACACTTACTTATAAATACATTAAACCTATAGTATTAATCTTCATCGTTTCCTTTTAAAAATAAAAATAATTAAATTATTTAAAACAATAACTTACCAATATATCTTTAAACACTTTCCTAATTTCGAATGGCATCCACTACTAGTATACATATACCAGCTCCGGTATGGCTATACTTTGATCCTCCTATTGAAGTCGAATCGGGTAAAAAAAAAGCTAGATGTAAGCTATGCTTGACAAATAATTACCTTACTGTGAATAATAGTGGTATTTCCAATTTGCGTACCCACGTTATCAATATTCACAAAATCGACATCTCAAGTATTTTGAGTTCTGAAGATTTAGCCATTTTATTTTCTCAGTCCGGTGAACATCTTCTTAGAGAAACGTTGATCGAGTGGATTGTAAAGGATTGCCTTCTGTTTACTACCGTCGAATCAGAAAGCTTTCATAAATTATTTGAGGTAATTAGAAAGCTAGAAGGTAATATTACAATTCTATCTGCAAGTACAATTAAAAGAGATCTATTAGAATATTACTCGGTATCAAAGGCTTCATTAAAAGAAACACTAGGAAATAACTCGAGTAAGATTTCACTTACCACAGACATATGGACTAGTAATAGTTGTAAGGTGTTTATAGGAGTTATGGCCCATTGGCTTGATAATAATTAGGAAATTCAATCTCATATACTTGATCTCGCGCCATTCAAAGAACCGTATTCTGGAATAAATATAGCAAATACTTTGATAAGTATTTGTGAAGACTTTAGCATTACTAAAAAAATTCTTATATAACCGTTGATAATGCTTCTAATAATAATACGTTCATTGAAGCATTCGAGTCTTTTTCTCTGGAAATTGGTAATTCTTTTACCCAGCAACAAGGCCATATTCGTTATATAGCTCATATTATAAATCTTGCTTTGCAAGATTTTTTGTTTCAATTACGTTCTGAAGCACCAGATCAAGATAATGATGATATTAATATTTTAAGTCAGACTAATACCTCTAATACTCAAGTCCTAACAATCAAAAAGCTTTGTATGCTTATTGCAAAGCTTCAGCATTTACCCCAACATCGTCAAAGGTTAATCGAGATATGTACCTCCCTCAACATACAACATATGAATCCAATTCTTGACTCTAAAACACGTTGGAACTCAACACTTAATATGCTTGAACAAGCCATAACTATGGCTCCAGCACTTAGTAGAATAGTTAGAAAAATTCCTGAGCTAAGTGAATTTGATCTTCTGCCACAGGAATGAGATATGTTAAAAGAAATTTTATTACCTTTAAAAGTTTTTCGTAAAATATCCGAGACATTGTGTGGTGAATCGTATGTAACGATGCCTCTCGCCGTTCCAGCATATAATCTAATTATGGATGATCTTGAGGATTTGCAAGGAAAAGGTATGTCGTCAGTAATTGAGGAAGCTATTAGAGTATCACTTAATAAATTAAGATCTTATTATACCAGAAGTGATAGTCCTATGTACGTGATAACTATCTTATTAGATCCAAGATTAAAAAAGGCATATTATGAAAAAAATAAATGAAATAAAGTTTGGATTTATTGGGCAATTGTATATTTAAATGAAGTATATGATAGTTATGATAATATTGTAATACCAAATACCGATACTTCTAGTGATACTTCTCTTGGCCGGGTTTTCAAGAATCTTCATTCTGAAAACAAAATTGATTTTTATTTAAATAGTTCTGTAGAACATGATAATATAGATGTATTTCAATAATGGAAAATGCATGTCAAAGAATTTCCCAAATTAACGATTATGGCACGTGATTTCCTTACTATACCTGCATCGAGTGCTCCATCTGAGAGACTGTTTTCAAGAGGCTCTAATATGGATACTAAAAAGTGTGGATCGCTTAATCCAGAAACAATTCAAAAAGCAATTGCTCTTTGTGATTGGATAGACTGAAAAGAATATATATTATTATTGT